GAAATGTTACCCCTTCTCCCTTTCCTTTCCCCTCCTATAGTTCACTTAAAAAAAAATCCATTGTTGCACAATTACCTCTTCCCCTCTGCCCCTGCCCAATCTTCTTTGCAGTTGTACCTTTTATTCTGGGCTATTGTGATACGTATAATGCCTGCCTAATCATATGTTCCTTTTAAACAGTTCTTTCCTTCATCTGTTCCAGTGTAACATTTATTATCTATCCACTCTTATCCTATTCTCCTTCCCCCCTTCCATGTCAGACCTGCTTTATAACAGTAGTGCTTTGCAGTGTGTTTTCTTTTGTGATTGAAATACTTCATTCACCATAATGTTCTCCAAGGTCTCCCATGCTGTATAATGTTTTATGAGTTCATTGCTTTACAGTGCTGTATAGTATTCCACATGTGTTCAAAATCCCTAGCTATCAGAGAGATGGAAATAAAAACAACTATGAGATATAATCTCACCCCAGCAACAATAGCAAACTTCAACAGAGCAGCAAACAGCAAATGCTGGCAAGGTTGTGAAGAGGTTGGAACTCTTATTCACTGCTGGTCGGAGTGTAAAATGGTGCAGCCACTACAGAGGGCGATTTGACATTTTCTCAGAAAGTTGGAAATAGAAATACCATTTGATTCAGCAGTTCCACTACTGGGAATATACCCCAAAGAAACCAGATCTGCCATCTAAACAGAGATATATACACTCATGTTTATTGACACATTATTTACAATAGCAAAGAGATGGAAACAACCCATGTGCCCATCAACAAACAAATGGATAGAAAAACTATAGTATTTTTATACAGTGGATTATTCCATAACTTTCCAATCTGTATACAGATCATTCAGGAGGCTGGGCTTTATGAGGAGGAGTGTGGCATCAGGATTAGAGGAAGACTCATGAACAACCACCTGCATTATACAGATGACACAGCCCTGCTTGCTGAAACTGAGGAGACCTGAAGCATTTGCTGCAGAACATCAAGAACTGTAGTCCTCAGTATACATTGAAGCTCAACATCAGGAAGACAGAAATTCTCACTACTGGGCTAATTGACAGCACCATGATAGGTGGTGAAGAGATTGAGGTTGTTAATTTCAGCTTGTTTGGCTCCACAATCAACATTCTTCAGAACCAGCAATCAGGAAATCAAAAGACAAATTGTATTGGTAAAGTCTGCTGTCAGGGCCCTCTCCAGAGTATGGAGAAGCAAAGGTGTCAGCAAAGGTACGTCTGATCCAGGCCATGGTCTTCTCAATTACCTGGTATGCATCAAAGAGCTGGACAACGTCTAAGGATGACAAAAGGACTGATGCCTTTGAGTTATGGTGCTGGAGAAGGGCATTGAACATACCTTTACTGCCAAGAGAACTAACTGAAGCTGTTAACAATCTCAATCTCTTCATCCTCTATCATGATGCTGCCAATTGGCCCAGTGGTAAGAATCTCTGTCTTCTTAATCTTCCTCCAAAGATTCTTTTTGAGTCTTCTTCCAATCCTGATGCTACATTCCTCCTCCTGAATGATCTGTTCTGCATATGGATTGAAGTATGGCGTCAGGACACCTCCCTCACATTCCTTTTCTGATCTGTTCTGAAGGACTGCTTCCTAGTCCAAGTCTAGGTTTTACATAAGTACAATCAAAAGTTCTGGGATTCCCATTTTTCTGAAGGCTAACCACAATTTATTGTGATTTATACAGTCAGATGCCTTTGCATAGTCAAGGAAACACAGACCTTTTTCTGATGCTCTTGCTTTTAGCCAAGATCCCCTTCCACAGCCTCTTCTAAAACCAGCTTGTATATCTGATAGTTCTGTCAATGTTTCCATACAACCTTGCTTGCCAAAACTGATGTAGAAGGTCATAGGGTAAAATGTTCAATATGGATTGAAGTTCAACATCAAGAAAACCACTGGGCCAACTGGCAGCACCATGGTGGATATAGAAGAAGTTGAGATTGTTACCAGTTTCAACTTGCTTGGCTCCACAGTCAACACTGTTGGCATAAGCAGTCAGGAAATCAAAAGACAAATTGCATTGAGAAAGTCTGCTGTCAGGGACTTCTCCAAAGTTCTAAAGAGTAGTGATATCAGTCTAGAGACTAAGGTGTGCCTGATTGAGGCCATGGTCTTTACAATTACTTGTTATGTATCAGAGAGCTGGATGATAACCAGGACGGACAGAAGAAGAATCAGTGCCTCTAAGATGTGGTATTGGAGAAGAGTATTGAACACACCATGAACAAACAGGTCTGTCTTGTAGAGGGTGAAACCACGCTGCTCCTTGGAGGCAAGGATTTTGAAGCTCTGTCTCACATACATTGGGCTTGGAGCTAGAAGGGATCAGTTCTCAGAGAAGAAGATCATGCTCTGAAGGGTGGAAGGACAGCAAAGGAGAGGGAGACCCCAGAGGAGATGAATTGACAAGTACTGGATAACGAGGGGGGGTGTTGAAGATAGTGAGAATGGCTCAGGATAGAGCAGGGTTCAGAGCTGCTGTACATCGTTGCCATGAGTCACAGTCAACTCAGTAGCACATAAGATGGGAAATGCAGTTTGGAGGTCTTGATTGTGTTGAAAGGAGGACAGCATTACCTGGTGACTTCCAGCTTTGACTGATAAAGAAAACACAGTAGCAGGGACATGGAATCTCTTCATCAAGGAAGAGACGTAGCCACTTTGGGGAAGGGGAACTGGTGTGACCATGCAACTTTGGAGGCGTCCAGAAGAGTTGGAACGAGTCTGTTTATTTTGTATGGTCAGTCAGATGATTGATGAGGGTCTATTGTAAGTAGTCGTGGCGAGGTAGAGGCCAATAAAAGAAGCAAGTGGCAGGTTGGCTTGACATGCCAGGAAGGCGCTCATGTATCCATAATGCTGAACAAACAGGACTCGGAAGGTACACCAGAACTTTTATTTTTTTGCTTCTTAAACACATTCCCTGTCTAATCTGTGAGGCAGGGTTACTGGACATATTTGGTTATCCTCTGGCCTTTTTTAAAAGGTTGTTTGTTTGTTTGTTTTAAATCTTACAGTAACATTTTTCCACACACTGTATTGGCTCAGTAATTAGTATACTCAGTTTGTTCCAGTTTAATAGGACAGATTTTGTTCATCCAAAGGTATATCATCGCTTTCTCTCTTCAGTTTCTGTTCATGATAAGCGTACAACCAGTAGTCAAGATAATAAGGTCTACTTCTTCCTCTGTTTTCCTCCATAATACATCTTTGCTCCCCTATTTCATTGCGGGAACATCTTAATAGGACTGACGTCAGTTTGCCATTGATTTTTTTTTTTCCTTTCTTTTTTTTTTTTTATGACCTTGGCAGATGTTAAACCTGACTTGTCCTTTTGTGAACCCTTTTATAGATCCTTAGAACCCTTTATAGATCCTTATAGACTCTTTGGAGTCCCCACATCCTCCCTTTCTCTGCATCTCTCACTGCGTTTCCCCCCCACACCTTCTCCTCTACACCCTAGGTATCTGATAGCAGCTGTCTGAGCCACCACGCTTCAGATTTGTCCATGTTGATTTTCAGTGAGTTAAAGGAGTGTCTGGGTGGAAATGCTGTGACTTTGTGGGCTACCCCTCTACTGTCGAAGGAGGGAGACGTGAGCTACAAACACAGTTGTGGTGGTCAGTTTAGGGCTCCTGGAGATTGACAGAAGCAGAGTGTGTATAACTTCTCAGCGAGTGATAGAGAGCCCTCACCACGTCGCTCCCACCGTGGGGCAGGAGGAAACTCAGCCGGCAAAGCCCTATTCTGCCCCCTTCCTGGCTTCTGGCGGTTGCCTGGTGTTTGTTGGCTTGGAGATGCCTTGCTCTGGTGTCTGCCTCCCTGTCACATGGCAGAGAATGGCTCCTTTTTGTCTTCAGGTCCAGATTGCCCTCTTCTCTTAAAATGAGAGGAAGACCCTTCCTCCCAGTTAGATGGATTTAAACAGTACCTGGAACAATTGAGGATGACACAGGATACAGGGGCCCAAAGATCCTTTCTTCCTCGGTTAAGCCTGCTTTGAAAAGTGATTGTAACTTTAGAATTGTTCATTCTTTTATGACAGCATTTTACTCTCTTTTCCCCCCTTCAGTTGTATATGAACACAGATCAAGATTAGAGAAGTCTCTGCAAAAGGAAAGACTTGAACATAAGAAAGCAAAGGAAGGTAAATAATTTATGCTTCGTGTTTTTATCATGTTCTCTGAAACATTATGTACTGTAATTTTTTTTTAAATTTTTTTTTTATTATGTTTTGTGTGTGTGTACCGTCAAATGGGATCTGACTGGTACAGGAGGAGATTGCCCCTCCTTCTCCAGCAGAGCATCTGGTGGATTCAAACCACGCACTTCTGGGATTGCATGTAATATTTTTTTGCTAAGAAATTTCTCCAGTCAACTTAGTCATTTGTTAATAAGAAGCCCTCGTGGCACGGTGCGTTGAGTGTTGGACTACTAACAACAGACTTGTTAATTTGAACCTGCAAGGGACTCTGAGAGAGAAAGAGGCGGTAATCTCCCTCCACTGAAAAAAAAAAAACCCAACAAAAAACAAACCTCAAAGAAAGCCTAGGGAGCAGATCTCCTCTGTCCTGGGGAGTTGCTCTAAATCGGAATATACTCAAAGATAGTAGGTAAGTCTAAAGCTATACATATATATGGAGCTCTGGTGGCCTAATGGTAAGAATCTATGCTGCAATCCTGAAGGCACATGGTTCAAATCCACCAGGTGCTATGTGGGAGATGGATGGGCACTCTCCTCTCATGTGATTAACTGCCTCTGAAAACCTTCGGGAGGGTCAGCTTTGGGTTGATTCCAACTCAGTGGTACACAACAATAACAACAAACATTTTATTTTATATATACATGTATATGTATGTGTATGTGTGTGTGTGTGTGTGTATATATGTATATAGATAGTCTAAATATATGCATATATAGTTGGTTCATTGATTCCATTTGAAAAATTACTATTCAGCACCAGTATTACCGATTGCCGTTGAGTCTGTTCCATTTCTTCATTTGGTGTCTGCGGTGCTCAGTCTTGGCTGGGGAGGCTGCCAGTGTTGATGCCTCAGAGCAGTTGGTGGATTCGGATAGACCTTGTGGTTAACATCTCAGTACCTTCCTCACATGCCACCAGACTCTTCAAACATGGCTAGCAAGACTTTTGTCAGATTTTTCTCTGAAGCACAAGCATTGTAAAACTTAGGATTTGAACGTTTTATATTCCTGGTATTTTTTAAATTCATGTGTTGTAGTTAATGCAGACATTTAAATTAAGAGTTGTTCTGATTACTTGGGATAGAAAGGAAAGCACACACAGGCTGAGGGTACTGTTGGTTAAGATATTGCACTGACCCTTGGAGTAATCCTGGGTGAAGTATAGAAGTTGAACATAATTAAAATGCTTTGATAGGATTTGGATGTCTTATCTTCAAATGCTTAGTAATTTCATAGAGCCATCTAGTGGATAATAAAGCTTTAAGAGCATTAAAGATGGCTTTGAAGATCTGATTTCTCTTTCCCTGTCGGGAATGATTACCGTGTGCCCTCTAGTGGGTAGCAGTAAATCGTCCGTGTCTTCAGGTGTTCCTCTTCTTCCCCTCCCAGTTTCAAGGAGAGTTAATCACCACAGAGCTGTTCTAAATGCTATTTTCATCAGTTGGTTATAATGTGGGTTTTATTGATGCAAGACTTATCACTCTAAGGTAAAGAGGAAGATTGTATAATAGTTCTTCTCACCTCTTGGAAATAAGAAATGGTAAAAAGGATTATGTAGAACACCAAGTAGAGTGCTTTCATATGAAAACAGTTTTGAAAGTTGGAGTATAAGTCGCCTTTCATGTTTCAGGTATTTTAAAATTCCACAATGAATTTACTCTCAATTATTTTCTCCATCTTTTATTTCCTAGATTTCCTTGTTTACAAGTTAGAAGCACAAGAAACGCTAAACAAAGGAAGAGTAAGTTTCCTGTTTTTTTAAACTTTTCTCATGAAGTTTGAAGGTGTGGGTCGCTTCATTAAAATAGACATTTTGTCACTCAAAATATTCCGCAAAGAAAGCTTTAAAAAACGCTTCCATTAAAGCTTGCTTTTGTTTATCACGTGATGATGGTGATGATCTTAGTTCCCGAGGAACGCGTAGTGAAATTCTGCAAAGGCTACTGGTTTCATAAATAGGAGTGTATTAGTCACAGCTCTGGAGGCACGAAGCCTGAGTCATGGTGTCTGTCGGGTTAGTCGGTGGTACAGGTGTGTGCTGACCTCAGGGCCCTGACATCCTATCTTTCTGCTTCTGGAGTTCTGGGCATTTCTTAGGATCTGGGGATGCTTGTAGATTTAGAAAAAATGGCAAAGACATTCAGATTCAAGCAGAGACTTCATTTTAGCTTCCACAAATGAAATTCTTGTGTCAAGGGTTTTAGGGATCATTTAGCAAAAGAGCTACATTTGTTTATCTTTGTGTTAATTACTTTCTTTCCCATCTACAGCAAGATTCCAACAGCAGATACAGTGCATTGAATGTCCAGCACCAGATGTTGAAAGTGAGTAACTTTAAGTCCTTCAGAAATAAAACTGGATTCTGATTTGATCTGATTAGTGTACTAGTCTTTAATGTGATAAAAGAAAGTCTGATAATATGGAATATTGAAGTCATACTTGGTTTATGTTATGCATAATTGTAATGTCTTATATTTGTCACCTAATTACATAGACTTTTTTTTTTTTTAGCTTTTTATAAATAAGGGGCCAATTATGCTGTTGGTTACCTTTCCCCTGCCCGCCTCTTCATCCTTCTTTTTATCCTTTAATTTCTCAGAGTAAGTTTGCTCAGATGTTTTGTCATTTTAGACAGACTCGAGATGTTGCCTATTAAAATGTTTCCTTCATGTTACTACGTTTAATAAATATTCTTTTACCTACCATAGGAACACAATTTGTATTTAAAGTTTCTCCTTCCTTGGTCCTTGGATAAAACTCATTACTGGGTTTCAGGAAGGGGAAAAAATGAATAGATTAGATACAAGAGAGATGCATTGTTTGTGTCAAAGTCAAAGAGACGAGGAGCATGCCGTTATGCCGTTGTGCACAGCTCACAGACCATGCCAGGACCCTTGACCCCTCACTTTTCTCTTTACTGTTGTCATTTTTCCGGTGTCAGGTAAGGCACATGCTTAAGGAAACCTGAACTTATCTTTTTGTCAAGAATGCAGTGCATGACTGGCCTTCCTTTCACATTAAGCATTTGGTGACTACAGTTTATCCAGGTTGTGATTATAGTGTAGTTGCGTAATTAGGAGTAAGGAAAATAAGAATCATCCTGTAAACAATCAATTTATCACTGCCTTGGGTGGAAAAATACTGCCCTCCCCCCTCCACCTCCCTTTTCACTTTATAATTAGATTACCAGGGAAGTCTGAAAAGCAGAGAAGAGAAACCAATTATGTTGCTGGGAAAAGAACAGATTGAAATAGGAAGTCTAGAGTATCCGGCAGGGGATAATTTTGCCATTAGCTTTTCTTGTATCCACGGTAATTTGAGACTTCCTCAAGTCACTCTTTATCTCTCAGCCTAACTTCTTGTTTCTCATTAACGTTGAAAATTGTAAGGAAAATTATTTGGGGCCATCATCCCAAAGTGTTCCTGTGCAATGTAGGGGAAGGATAGGGCGCTGCACAAATTACAGACAATCTGCAGGAAAACAGGCCTGTGTTTGCACTTGTTCCGTCTTGCAGGAGGAAAGCTGTGCTCGGAAGAGTTCATTTTCTCCATGATGCATGTCCAGCATGTGTATCTGCTCACGGTTTTGTTGTGGTGTGTTTTTTGTTTTTTTGGACTTTTTACTTTATGGGATAATACTACTTTTAAAAAATTTTATTTTATTAATTTTAATGAACATTTACAGATATTTTGGATTTTCATTCATTCATTGTTGTACTTTTTTCTTTACCCCCTCCCCCAGTTTGCTCCTTTCTTTGAAAAGCAAAAGATAAACTTCTTCATTGGTATACAGTCCCCTGCCCACCCTGCCCCTGCCCCACCCCACCCCAGATGGATTTTTTTTAACTTTTTTTGAGGTTGTTTTTTTTTTAATGAAAGTTTACAGAGACTTAGGGTTTTCAGTCATTCATTGTTGCACTTTTCTTCCTGCCACCCCTCAAATCACTCTTCTCCTTGAAAAGTAAAAACAAAACCCATACACCTCTTTCATTGTTACGCATTCCTTCCCCCCGAGTTCACCCCGCTATGCAGTCTTCACTCTGGACGTCTGTAATGACAAGAATACCCATTCATAAGTCCCTTGTAAACAGGGCTCTCCCTCAGCTGTTTTGCTCACGGTTTTTTATCTTTCCAGAGTCAACACGAGGAGCTCAAGAAGCAGCACAGTGACTTGGAAGAGGAACATCGCAGACAAGGGGAAGACTTCAGCAGGACGTTTAACGACCATAAACAGAAATACCTGCAGCTTCAGCAGGAGAAGGAGCAGGAGCTCTCGAAGCTGAAAGGTGTGTGAAAATCGAGTGAATGAACCCAGTTGTGTGAAAATCCGGGCTCAAGCTCATGATTCAGTTAAGCAACAGACTTTTATTCTGCTTTTATTTCGTCTAGTGATTTATCATGTGGGGTTTTTTTGTGGTGGTGTTTTGTTTTGTTTTGTCAATGACTTACATTCTTTGTAGTTTTTGTTCTTATCGTTCTGTATTTATCCTTCTCTTTTGAAGCGAGTTTGTTGTCATTATTATATAGTATCGAGTCAGAACTGACACAGAGCTGACCTCTAGTGGGCTTTAACAGGCAGAAACTCATGGGAGGAGATACTGCCCGTCTTTTTCCTGCCAAGCACTTGATAGATCCAAACTGTGTGGCTTTGGGTTGGCTGCGCCACTGTTTCCCATGAAGCCACAGCGTAATAGAACATGTAAGATTTCTCAATGATATACATGGTCATTTGGGGGCAAGAAGATTCATATGAATGTGGCAGGACATTGACTACCTCTGGCTCCTGCCTGCTGCGTCCCGGGAATGTCCGCCAGTCACTGTGACAACACACTATTGCCCCACGTATTTCTAAAGCTCCTCAGTGAGGTTCAGAGGTTTCCTCTTGAGCCGCGGAGTGCTGATAGTAACGGCAGAAAGCTCGGAATCTTGAGCCAGACGGCCTGGGTGAATCTGGGCATCTCCAACTCAGAGTTAGGACCGTAGGCAAGTTGTGCAATCACAGGAGGCTTCGCTTTCCTCATCTGTCCAGTTGGATTGCACATAAACAAGTTCATGCTGATGAGGTTGATGTGAGAACTCCTTTTTGTAAAGCTCTAGAGCTGTTAACAGGGCACCCTGGTGGCTTTGGTGATAAGGAGCTGCACTGCCAACCTAAAGGCACACAGTTCGAATCCACCAGCCACGCCAGGGAAGGAAGAAGGGCAGTTTCTTTCCGTGTGAGTTACTGTTCTGAAAACCTGCTGGAGGGTCAGCTACGAGTTTGATGATACACACAGCAGAACTGGCATATAGGAAACATTCAGTATATATTATCTGTTTTCTTCATAGTCATCATCAGATATTTTTAGGGTAAAATTTTTTTTTTCTATGTCCATGAGTCGTGCTTGACTCGAAGGCAGTCAACAGCACGTCCATGTGAATCCTGGAAAAGGAACTAGCACAGTGTACAATTCAGTTCCGATATTTAATAGTTTTAAAATGTGACAGTGGCTTCAAAAGGCATACAGCTCATACAAAACAAAACAAATCCGTGTGTGTGTGTGTGTGTGTGAATTGCTGTCAAGTTGAGCACGACTCATAGTGACCCTATGAACAAAAGGCCAGAAGCCTTTCTACAACTATCAACATTTATCAAAGTTCATAGAGTTTCCAGAGGCATGTGGTTTAGGAAGTGGATGACACTCCTTTTGTAATGGGTCT